TGTGTGTGTGTGTGTATGCTGAGTTAAAAAACAGCAAGTGTGCAGAGATGGTTCAGGAAGAAGCAGAAGCTAAAAAATTTAATACAATAGAAGTCTTTTCACAAACAAGACTCGTGCAGACAAATGGAGGTATACATATCAGACTTTCTGGTCTGATCTAGATGTACATGTGGACTCCATGTCTCAGTATGTGCCACCTGGGAATCTATTAGAAATATCACACAACTCAGGCAGACATCCCCTAGTCAAGTACAAGCCACAGCAGCCAGGAGAACCAGTAGGCAAACTCAGGCAGCCTCAACTGCTGGACCAGAGACCACTAGGCCACCAGAACTTCAGATAGACTTCCTGCCCCAGAACTTTCTCCACTCTCCTAGTTCACCCCAGACACTACCCCCAATCGCCCCCTCCCCTAATCACAATGTCCCAGTCCCCAATGCAGATGGAGAGGCCATGCTCAACAAGAGGCCAGGCCAGCTGCCAGAAGTCCAGTCCTCAGCTGGGGAGAAGAACCTCTGTTCAACCATAGGCCACACAGAAGAAAAGACCAAAAAGGAAAGAGAAACCAAGAAATAAAACACCTACCAAAGATAAACTTGACACCTAGTCATAAAATCACCCCAAACCCAGATGCCTGGGCTAGAGGAAGAATGCAATCAACAGCCATGGTGATATGTCACCAACAGAGCCCAGCTTTCCTACGACAGCAAGCCCCGCATATCCCAACACAGCCAAAGTACAAGAAAAAGACCTTAGAACCAACTTTATACAGGTGAGAGAGGTCCTTAAAGAGGGAAATGAATAAACCCCTTAAAGAAATCAAGAAAAACACAAACAAAAATTGGAGGAAAAGAATAAATCCCATAAAGAAAGCCAAAAAAAACAAACAGTTGAAGGAAAAAAATAAAACTGATCAAGACCTGAAAATGGAAATAGAAGCAATAAAGAAAACACAAAATGAAGGAATGCTGGAAATGAAAAATCTAGGTAAGTGGACAAGAACTACAGATGCAAACATACCAAGAGAATACAAGAGAGGGAAGGGATGATCTCAGGCATTTAAGATATGACAGAAGAAATAGATACTTCAGCCAAAAAAATATTAAATCTAATAAATTTCTGACACAAAACAGCTAGGAAATCTTGGACTCTATAAAGAGATCAAACCTAAATATAATGGGAATATAGCAAGGAGAAGAATCTCAGCTCAAAGACCCAGAAAATACTTTCAACAAAATCAGAGAAGAAAATTTCCTAATCTAAAGAAGGAGATGCCTATAAAGGAACAAGAAGCATACAGAACACCAAATAAACTGAACCAGAAAAAAGTCCCCTCACCACATAATAATGAAAACACTAAGCATATAGAACAAATAAAAATTATTAAAGACTGCAAGGGGAAAAGACAAAGTAACATATAATGGCATACCTATTAGAATTACACCTGATTTCTCAGTGGATACTAAAAACCACAGAAGGGCCTGGACAG